TGCTGTGCTGTGTGTTGGATCGCTGCTCCCCGATGCTGTGCTGTGTGTTGGATCGCTGCTCCCCGATGCTGTGCTGTGTGTTGGATCGCTGCTCCGCTGTCTTCGGAGACTATCCGCTTGAAGGGCATCCTGGCTGCAAACGCAGCAACGCGGGCGCTAGTGACACTGGGGCAGCCAGAGTGGAAGGAGCAGCTTTGATGATTAAACAGCATCAAGGTGGAGATCAGCCATTGCCCCTGCTGGATGAGTGGTCAGGCATGTGTGTCTGCTAAGTGAGGAGTCCTGGTAGCAAAGTGGTCACATGTTGGGCTGCTCACTGCAAGGTCAGCAGTTTGAAACCATCATCCACTCCCCGGGAGAAAGATGTGGCTCCCTGCTCCCATAATGAGCTACACAAGGTCACTGGGAGTTAGAGCCGACGCAATGGCAGAGTTTGGTTTGCTAAGAACAGGATGTTACAAAGCATCCGAGTCACATACTGTCCTTCTTCACAGGACACAGAGTGGACATTCAGGGGTGATTCCTGTGTGTACACACATACACGTATGTGTGTGAGCGCATACATATATAGGTATGTGTGGGTGTGTGCCTACATCACACCGTGTAGCCATTGCACTGGGTATTAGACCACAACTAAATGAAATGGAGAAGGTAATTTAGACAACAAGGGTGCCACCCCTCCAGTAAGTTGATGGTGTGGAGCCCCCAGCGGGGACTCAAGCAAACAAAAATACCCCTGCCTTCTGATCCCTTCAGACTCACAAAGACCCGCTAGGACAGGGTGGAACTGTCCCTGCGGGTTTCCAAGTCTGTGCATTTTCAGAGGCGTGGAAAGCCTCGTTTTATTTCTTGGGAAAGCTGGTGGTTTTGAACTGCTGACTCTGCCATGAGCATTCCAACTCCTAACCCAGTAAGCCCCCAGAGTCAGGCCGTAGAACGATGAGCGCAGCGTCTGCTAAGGTCCTTAGTGAAACACGTCGTTCTGCCTCCCCTCTCGCTGCCAGAGATCCCCAGGCACTTCTGCCCCCCCCCCCCACGCCCCACCCCGTGACCAAGGGAGGAGAGAGGACAGCCTAACGTGTCCCCTCTGGTGATGTCATCACCCAGCCAAGAGCAGCTCCAGGCTCCCCCTGAAGGGATCTCTGCAGAGAGCATGTGCCCGCATTGTCCAGAGCTGCCGGCTCCAGGAGGTAACTTGGCAAGTTCCCTGGCGTTCATCGACATATCTGGGCCACCGGCAGCCAGGCCCCCCAGCAGCAGCACACCTGACACTCACTGCCTGGCATGACAAGGGCAGGCAAGATCCCTGCCAGGACTTCTGCTGGCACCCCTTGGGCTAGGCACTCTTGAGGGACCTCACTGGTGCCCAGTCGTGGTAACCCTGCCCTTGAAGATGTTTGGCCACGTTGAGCAGCACGCTTGGAGGACTCTGCTGTTTTAGACCTGCTCCCACAACCGCTGTTGCAGACGCTGCCACCCTCCTCAGCCATGGCTCGTGACCCAGGGCTCCCAGTGAAGATGGGCTCTCAAATGACTGTAGACACCGCTCCAGAGAGAGAACCTCACACTACCCACTGGACATGGAGGTGGACCCACAGGGCCTGCTCAGTGCACCTTCCATCTGCTTGCGTGGAACCTCTACATGGACCAAGAGGCAGTCGCCTCAACAGAACGAGGCCATAATTCATAGTTTTAGCTCAGGAAAGGTGTGCATCGGGGTTACAGCCTTCCATCACCATGCTCATTCGATCTGCGTGCTGAGCAAACCACCTGAGAAGCTGGACTATGTGAAGAACACGTCATCAGGATGGGAGGAAGCGTTATTAACAAGGGGTGATTACATAGCTCTACTCCCCTCTCGTTACATGTGTATTTACATATGTACATGCCTGTATTTAGGCCTCTATAAATGTCCTTTGCCTCCTGGTTCTTTCCTCTATTTTACTCCCCTCTTGTCTACTATCATGTTGGGACTTCATTCGGATTTAGTAACTCCTCACTGCTACGTTGCCCTTGTTTGAGCCCCACTAGGCATCCTATGACCCTCCTTCCATAGATGTTAGTTCACTTGTTGTTCCCTTGTCCCTGGGTTGGTTCTCCCCACCCCCTTCCTTTCTCCCACCTTCCCTTCTCACGTACCCCCCTGGACCATTGGTACTGTTCTTTTCATCTCTGAATTATTTATCCTTCCTGTCTTATCTAGATAGACATGCAGATATATTAATAAGTGAAGAAACCAGGCAAAGCCAAATAAAACAACAAAGGAAGCCAAAACCAACAAAACAACAACAGCATAAAGCAAGAACAAAATAACAAAAACAAAAAGAAAACCACTGAGAAAAATGGAAAAGCCTATAAATAGTTCCAGGTCTTTTTTTTTTTTGCCTTTATGAGCGTTTTCCAGTAGAGTCTGATATCTATATGTTACGAATTAAGGTTGCAGATGTACATTGGCCCTCAACTCAAATACTCCCTTAACACAAGAACACTTTGTTCTAACAATCTGACATTCTGTGATGCTCACCTTCCCGACAAGATTGCTGAAGACAAAATGGGTCCATAAGCAAATGTGGGGAAGAAAGCTGATGGTGCCTGGTGGCTTTCCAAAGATATAGCATCTGGGGTCTTAAAGGCTTGAAGATAAACAAGCAGTCATCTACCTCAGAAGCAATAAAACCCACATGGAAGAAGCACAGCAGCCTGTGTGATCATGAGGTGTCCATGGGATCATGTATCAGGCATCTAAAACCCAGAACAAAACCATACCAAGGTGAAGGGGGGCACATGGAGTGGAGACCCAAGCTTGAGGCATCTAGT